CGCACCACAGGCCTCTCTGCCTCCCTCCCCTCCCACCATGTGTGTCTCTGTCTGTCTGTGTAGGTGATTCCCCACGAGAAGACCACGATGCTGCCGCCCGGCCCCACCAATTTTGTCATTCCGTCGATCATCAAGGGCAACTTCACTATCGACATACCGCCCGGTAAGCAGCCAATTGGCTCATCCACACCGCAGCCGTCCCTCCCGGCCACCGGTCTGTCTGTCTGTCTGTCTGTCTCCAGGTATGAGAATCACCCGGGAAGAGCTGGTGCATTACGTCCGGGCCACCAAGGGCATCGACCTCAATCAGTGCAAGGAAATCGCCCCGCCAATGCCGCTGCCCGAGGGGACCGGTCAGCCACACACACACAAAACACACGTGTCCATAATGATCCCCTTTTTCGTGTCTGTGTGCAGCGCCCACGTCTATAGAGGCCCATTTCGAGAATGAGCCGCTCCCCGAGTACGTCAAGAACGCCAAGCCGTGGCCGGTGGATGAGTGGGGTCCCCTGCCGCACCCCAGCCAGATGGCAGACGGCCACACCTGGACCGGCCCGCCCGTCAAGGTGGGCGAGCCCCTCAAGACCACACTGGAGGGGCCGCCCCAGGGATGGATCCCCAACCAGCACCAACTCAGGATCGTACGCGACACACAGACATTGATGAGATACAGCGAGGCGTGAGAGACACGAGTGCATTCCATTCTCTCTCTCTTTGCGTAGATGGCCGAGCACAAGTTGACCCCGAAGCAGTGCGGCTACCAGGGGCCGCCCATCCGCATGCCCGTGAGTGACACACAACATCACACAACACAGCAAACAGACACACAGGCAGATGTCACCTCCCATGTGCACTCATTGCTGTGTCTCTTCCTGTCTGTCTGTCTGTCTGGATGTCTGGATGTGTGTATGTGTGCAGATGCTGATGGCGCCCCCGCCGCCTTTCCCTGGTGCTGGTCGTCCGGTTGCGCCGCCTCCCGCCGCCCCTGCCGGCCCTCCCATGGTGATGATGATGCGGCCGCCCATGGTGCCACCCCCGCCCGCACACATGATCGCACCCAAGAAGAAATGTAAGAGACCACACACACGGGATCGGCTGTGATGGGATGTGCTGCAATGTGATGGGATGGGATGTGTTGTGGTGGTCAGCATCAACGAAGAAGTCCTGCGGGGTTGGGTTCTTCGGCTGGTTCACCGGCTCGAAGAAATAAACAACCAAGTAAGCGGCTGACCATGCAGCCACACCAGACAGACACACACGCCTACTCGTGCTGCACACACAATCGATGTCTCTCTGTCTCTCTCTCTGTCTGTGTGTTGGTCAGGAAATTCTTGTCACCATCACCACACACACACGGGGGGCCTATTTTTTGCGTATATATCACTCTAGCGTCGCTCGTGTGTATTGTGATTTGTTTCGTAAGTAAGTCGTTCTCTATAGGCCGGATATATACTCTTCCTCTGCCCTCTATTGCTGGGCCAATTCTCAACACTCGCTGTCTGTCTGTCTGTCTGTCTGCCATGGTTCCTGGATTGCTGGTGACTTTGTGTGTGCGGCCATGCCAAAGTGAGCCGACACACCGCCCATTCGCTCGTGCGTGCGATATTAATGGCTGCCCTGTGTTTGTCTCTTCCTCTTGTCTGGGTGGGTCTCTCTAAATCACAACACATCTCATCATACCGCTTCGAGCACTGTCCTCTTGGTTGGGGGTTTTTCGGGCTTGGTTTGCTTTGCTGGAATGATCGCCTGCCTGCCTGCCTGCCTGAGTTAGCCACACACGACATCACACCACACCACATCACACCGCCAGTCATTCACACACTGTCCTCTGGGGGGTTCTGGGCTTGATTTGTTTTGCTGGATGGATTGCTGGGCTTCCATAGAGTGCGTGGGCCATTGCCAAAGTGGGCCCTCACCAACCAGTGCACTGCAGCTGACATGACTGACTGGCCTGTGTCTCTTCCCTCTCCCAAACCACACACCAGCAGACAGACAGACAGACAGACGACAGACTGAGACACACAGAGACATAGAGTTTTAAAGTACAGAGGGAGGGGAACAGAAGTGCATGGGATAGACGCAGAATGGACTGCGAGCAGATACAGTGCATCAACGGAATGGAAGAAAGATGGTTGTTGATCAAAAACATCTCTATGTACGAGTGACGGTGGGTCGATCGATGGGGATTTGTTCGAGAGAGACAACTTGACTTGCATGGGGCGGGATCGATCCCTCCTCCCCTCAAACCTGTTTGGCTCTGCGTGCTCATTTGCACGAGTGACGGCTGGCACACACGGTCTTAATTAAGCCGTGCACGACTACCGAGTCGGGAATGAAAGAACACTGAAGACGCACAACTGGCGGATCAACTGGGATGGTATGTGTGCAGACATGAGCCGTGGTGCGACCATCTTCATGATTGAGGACTGACTGCGTGTTGTTGCCATAGTTTCACGCACCCATCTTTTCATCGCTTGGCCACACAAATCCCACGCCCATATACACATACCAACACACAAATGCCATTCATTCGCTAGTCAGTCAGCCAGGCAATCAGCCAGAGAGACGGAGAAGGAAAGACAGTCGTGGATGCATTCGGCCTTAACAGCTGTGGCGGCTTTACAACGAAACACAGACATGACGAGACCTCGGCTGCTCTATTGCCTTCCCTCTAGTTTGATTGACGCATGGCAGCTGCTGCGATTGGCATGGCTTTGCCGGAGTGTATTGGCCGGCCGTGTGATGACTCGTTACTTGCTCTGCAGACACTGAAGTGGCCGGTAGTCGTTGTGTCATCGATCTGTTCTGATGTGGTGCGTGTGGGGAGGCTGGCTTGCGCTCTGTGGGGGGAGGGGTGTGTGTGTGTGAGTGGGTTTATGCGTGTGTGTGTACTGAATTGGTGGACACAGTTTGATTGGATGTGTGTGAATTCACCTACTGCAGAAGTCAGTGCAATTCACACATACGAAGATGAACAGACGTACACATATCATGGGACGTTCCTGCAGTCGACACCGCGCCCCTCCATCTCATCTACTCACATGTCGCTGGAAGTGGGCCCTCCGCCGCAGCTAAGCTAACAGCACAACTCTATACCTCCAGGTTCTTCACTGCCAGCACCACCAGTCGACGAACAACCTCATCTGCACACAAACAGACGCACACACGCACACACAGAGAGAGAGAGAGAGAGAGACGCACCAGTGCCATCCGGGCACTCCAAGCATGCCCCTTGTCTATGTGAATGTCTCTTCCCCACTACGGCTCACTTGTTTGTGTTTCCCCTACTGTGGTATGATGTGGGCGAGGCGGTGTTTGGTCAGGAGGGAGCGGGTCAAGGACATTGCGATGGGGAATCGGTCAGACAGCCGCGTGTGGCCCTCGATGGCCGCTTCGGTCGTGTAGAGGTCGATGTTGCCACTGTTCAGGTACAGGTATGCAGCCATGGTCTCACCTTCCTTCTTGCCCTTGAGGATGATGAGTCGCTCCCGCTCGTCATTCCCCACCCCCTGCCCCTCGTAGATGAAGTCGATGGTGGTGTGCCCATTGATGGGCTCGGTCAGCAGTAGCTGATAGCGCTCATCGCCGCCGCCCACTGGCTCGTCGAGTACCTCCTTCTCGTCCACCCCATCTTGTTTGTACCACTGCACCAACACCATCCGTCGGATGAAGGCCGTGAATGAGGGGAAGAGGTGGCCATCGTGGCGGATGGGCGGGTTGTGGGGGTCGTATGTGCGGCGGTAGGGATGCTGGGGAGGGAGACCGGACTTGGGCACCGTCTCGAACTCCCACTGGCGCTCGCCGACTCCAATGCGATACCGCTGTCGTGTCACCCCACCGTCCCTCTCTCCCTCTCCCTCTTCTCCATCCTCTCCATCCCCCCTCTCGGCATCCTTCTTGCCCTCGTTGTCATCGGCCTCATCCACCTTTGTCAGTGCGAGGCTGGTCCCCTGGTAGTTGAGGAGGTGGCCGAATGTGCTGTACTGGCGAAGGGGAGGGGCATGGTGTGGAAGTCGGCCTTGGTGGGCAGCTGGGCCGCCATCCACTGAGCCGACATGATCAGAGGCAGACCAGTCGACGGCGTCAGCTTGTAGATGTCAGCCAGCCGGATGAAGTCGGGCCACTCACACCACACCGCCCCGCCATGCTCCAGTGCATAGCAGCACTGGGACAGATAGCAGAAATGCGACACATGACGGCCGCCACCGCCTGCAGCTGCAGGGGCCGGTGGGTCACTGCTGCTGCTGCTGCTGGTGTGAGGGGCAGGGGTGGGCGCCGCGGCATTGGATGTGTCTGCTGTCCGCTCCACGTCGATGAGGCCGGTCAGCGAGTGGCGGCTGAGGTGCTTGTCGATGCGGCGCTGCACAAAGGCCTCATTGACGAGTTGGCTGCCGTGTGCCCTGCTGATGGGGCGGGCCGAGCAGACGGCCTCATCGATCGGCAGGCACGGGTAGATGACGTCGCGGCAGACATCAGGCGGCAGGCCGTCGGCCGAGTCGGCGGGCGGGGGCGGCTTGGCCCAGCCGATGGGCCGAATGGTGCCCTTGACGCCATCCTCGACGACACACAGCGCATCTTTAGCCGACGAGAGAGCGGCGAAGACGCTCACCCACTTATCGGCGAGAAAGGGCGTCTGCACCAAACAAACACACACACAGACAACCAGGGAGAGAGTGACGGCTGCAGTACTCTCGTGTGTGTGTGTGTGTGTGGTTGACCTGTGCGGCGACTGTGGTGTTGAAGAGCTGCTGCACACCGGCAGCCTCTCGTGTGACCTGCAGACACCGCACACACACACACAGTGGATGGGAGCACACCAGCAGTGAGGCCATTGGGCCTCTCATGCGCCACGTGCCTGATCTATGTGTGTCTGCAGCGATGCGATGCGCTCCTCCAGACGAACCAAACCCTCACTGATGGACTGTTACACACACACACACAAACCACCCGATGAATGATGGCCGTTTGTGTGCTCTCTCGAGTGAATGCGTTCGCTTCTCGATATGATGCTCACCGGGGTGTTCTCATTTGCAGCGGCCGAGTCGCCGCCTTGTGTGCGGGGACGCTTCGGCTCTCCTTCAATGCTCATGCTCGACAACCAGAGCTACATTCACAATAGTAGTAGGGCACATCTACGGAGCAGGTTTCCGTCATGGTGTGCTTGTGTGTGTGTGTGTGAACCAATCGCCGCATTTTCCCACCTTGTTTCCCACTCACTGTCGGACGAGAGGCTGCTACGTGGCGAGGATGATGATGGACAATAAGCCGCCGATGGATCAGTTATCACACGAGAAGCGGCTGAGCGTGCACAAGCAGGGCTTGGGAAGCACAAAGAGGGCCTGGGAACAATTGCCTGGGAAGCGATTCGTGTCTATTTATCTGGCTCTCTCTCAGCTCGCATCGATCGGCTCGCAGGTCGACAAAGGAGGGCGAAAGACCCCTCCGGTAAGCCCACAGGACTCTTCGGAACTCAATCATCCAGTCGCATTGAGCCGCGCTCACTTTGGATGAATCGTTTTGGCGGGATCAGCAGCTCACATGGCTCGACTGTGCGCATGTTGTGATCGACAGACTCGTATGTGCCCACAATGTATGTGTCTGCACCGACCAGACAGGCTTGTGAGTAAAGACAAAGACACGTTAGTGAAAGGCACTCGTCGCTGGAGTGAGTCAGTCTGCATGTACGTGACGCGAGCAATCTGAGCAGCCAAGGCTAGGCTAGTAAACCTATCAATCATTCTATCTATCTGTCTACCCATACATATCAGCCTGCAGTCGGCACTGCGATCGACAACGTCTGTCGCCACGAACCAATCAATCAATCAATCAACAGATGTACAGACATCCAATCCATCCATCCATCCCGTCCACGCATCCATCTCTCCTGACGCCGCAGTCGCAGTACTAGTGTCCTTCCCCCGCCTTGCCCTGCGTGGCCCGCCTCCCGCGAGCCATGCACGACACAAATAGTCAGGTGTGCCAGCCGCTTGCCGGCTGTGAACGTATTGACATCCACAAAACGTGGCTGGCCCCGTGTCTGAGTCGTCTCTCCCTGCATCTGACGTGTAAAGGCCGATATGGCAGGATGGGAAATGACACGAGTCATGTGCCACGCCCATCGTCCCACAGCCGCCCCACATGCGATACGCAGGCAAGCACGACATTGACACTGACACGGCGACGACACGCACCACCCTTTGGTGCCAACCAATAAAACACCACGCCCGACCGATGTGCCGACGTGTCCACCAATGTCACGGCCTGCCCTTCCCACACCTCATGTCGACCCTCGCGACCAGTGGGCAGTGACAACGGATCTGTGTCACCACACAATGATTGCCAGAGTGTTGATGACGTGTGGGAAGAGACTGGGATGATGTCGGAGCAGCAACCAGTGGCAGGACTGTCAGGTTTTGCACGCCATGGACACAGCCAAGTAGAGTTGAGAGCACTTCAGGTCAAACACCTTGGTCCACGACAATGCGACGGCGGGAGGGAGGGAGGGAGGGAGGCCAGCACTCAGTCAGGCAGCCAGTCAGCCAGTCAGGTAGTCGGCGGTTGATCGGTCAGTCAGTCAGTCACGGTGACTGAGAGACTACACATGTATGCATGCTAGTACACTAGCGGACGTACGGGGAGGCAGGAGGGAGGGAGGGAGGGAGGTAGGGAGACAGCGTGTATGTATACGTCTCGAGCTCACGTATGTGTCCATGCACTCATGGATCGATCGTATTGTACCGTCTGTACCATGATGTATGTATGTGTCGCATGGTGGATGCTGGCTGATCCAATGCAACAACGACAGGAGACGATTCGAGACGAGACGAGACGAGACGAGACGAAAAACCGCTTTGCCGATTCATTGATTAAGTGAGTCAGTAAGTGGTCGCGTGAGTGAGCCGACACTGTGACAAAGACCTGTGTGCAGCAGGCAGCCAGTGAGCCAGTCAGTCATGATGCGATATGTATCCACGTGTGGATGCAAGCGACGACGAGATAGAGAGGGAGGGAGGGAGGGAGGGAGAGACAGCCAGGGAGGTAGGCAGGCAGTTAGACAGGCCGATCGACGTTCTCTATCTAAGCTCTACGGGTGCCAGCGACGACTCGCACACAGGTAACATGGTTGGAGGGACGAAAGTCACACCCATGCAGTTGGTTAGTCAGTCATTCATTGTCCATATACTGTACGCGTCGATACATATTATCACACTCACACACACACATGTCAAGTCAAAAGCCAACAGCCACGCACTATGTTAAGTGAAACCAACCAACATGGGGACAAAAGCCTCATCCGCGTGCACTGACTGTCACGGGCACCACGTGAGCACGGCGGACTACAAACTGACGCAGGAGGGAAAACGCAGAGAGATAAGGAAACAAATCACTTACCAATCAATCAATCACTTCGCACGTACGTGAAAGTACGATGGACAGACAGAGAGAGAGAGAGATAGAGAGAGACGTCCATTCATCTGATGCCATGCATGTGATATCTATAGGGACACACCCACCCCCACCCACCCACGCCTCCCAGCCGCCATAGCCTTTCCTCCAGAAAAAAGAAAACGCGACGACGTGACGACGGGTGTGTGAGCAGACACAGGGGCGCGCACAAAGGAACGAACGGAGGCAGGCAGGCAGAGAAAGTACAAGTGCGTTTCTGCACAGCCAGGGGTGAACAAAGGCAACGGCACAAACACAGCACAACACAAAGCAGAGATAGGATGACAACACAAGGCCACAATGAACACGATGCACGAAACAAACACACCGCACCACAGCACACCTACCATAGCCACACGCGACAGTATCCTATCAGATCACATCGCCAATCCAATCAACCATTCATTCACTCAATGAGCAAGGACCAAAAGCAGGAAAAAAGAGACCGCTTTGACCTTCCCTCTCTCCCCCTGTAGACCCCTCGCAGCCTCCCGCTCGCTCACAACAGCCAGCTAGACGATCCCCCCATAAGGCATGCATAATTAACTAACGTCTGATGTCTGTACTTGCACTAAAATCCAGCCTTCGATCCACACCACACCCAGCTAGAGAGATAGCTACAAGTAGATGGGCTGACTGATGGATCAACAAACGAGACCGAGCGACCGACCGACACACCACCAACCCCCTCCCTCAGTTGAAGAGGTCCTCGGAGGTCTCCTCGACGATCCTCGACGCCAGCCTGTTGATGGGGATGAGGTACTGCGCCGTGCCCCTCTTGCTGATCCGGCTCTTGACACCACCGCCGACACACGACATGAGGCGACGCAGCTGTGGAGACCCAAGTGGCCTGATGCCAGACATGGTGGTGGTGCGGCTCTGCTTGTTGCGGAACCGGTCGATCTCCTCAGCGGTAGGTTTGCAAGAGGCCAGCGTCCGTGTGCGGATGTCGCGTCGACCTACGGGCACAACGAGGCGAGGCGACAGCGCATCAAGTGCGACCTCCCCGTCGTCTGTGCTCGCACTCGTCGTGGCAGTGCTCCGTCGGTGCTTCAGCAGCGACTCACTGACGCCCATCTTGCCCACGGTCGGCGCAGGGGAGGCATCCGAGGCGCCCTCGAACTCCGACTCGGGCTCCTGCTGCAGGGGGAAGGGCTCCTCGGCGAACGAACCCGGGCTGGGGGTGCCCATATCAACCGGGGAGGCGGCCTCGGCCTCGTCCTCCTCCACGCCGGCCATCTCCATGTCCATCCAGCCGCCGTCCTCCGTGTCGCTGCCGTTGGAGGACCCCTCATAGCGGCCGAAGACGAACTGGACGTCGTCACCCAGCCCCATGAGGCCGCCGAAGCCGGCGATAGGCGTCATGGAGGTGAAGGAGCGAGTGGACTTGAAGGGGAGGGCTGAGGGGGTGGGCTGTTCGGATATCTGCTCGGCGGGAGGGGGGAGGGAGCTGTAGGTCTCAGAGATGAGCTGGGTCAGCTCCGGGAAGAAATCGGTGGGTCGATCGCGGCCGTAGCTGAAGTCCAGGTGGCCCCAGTTGGGCACGATGCACACGCGACACCGGTTGCCGAAGTTCATCAGAAGGTAGGCCTCCTCCGCATCTGATGGCACACAGACACACAGGAATGGATGGTTGTTTGTCGGTCGGTGTGCGCGCCTCACTGGACTCTCACCAGCATCGAAGAGGTTGTCCTTTCCTGCGAGGTAAGCGTCGACGGGAACGGAGATGTTGTGCAGGGGGTAGTCGAATGACTTGGTGCTGATGGGGCTGGTCTGGGCCTGGCCCTCGGCGTCCATCGTCACCTCCTCAGCCACTATCGTACTCGACCGACGCATCAGCTTGATCACGGGCACCCTCTTGTCGCCCACATACCTGACGGATGGATGGACGACACGGGGAGAGCGAGTGAGACAAGACGTTGGTGTCTGTCTGTCTGTGGTGTGTGTGGAATGGATTGTGTTGGCGTACCTGCCGATGGGTCTCTTTTCCTCGATGAGCTGCCTCCAGTGGCACATGTTCTTGTGGGCCTGGAAGCCGCCCGCCAGCTGACGATAAAGCATCGCCTGACCCAAGGACGAGCCGCCCAGGGGCGTGAAGTGGAACCCAAGAATCTGTAAACAGCCATACAAGTGACACACACACAGCATGATCAACATGTTTCCCTCCCCCTGTGTGGTGTGTCGGGTCGGTCGGTCGCTGCTGCTTACGTAAGTGATCCACGGTCCGAAGAGCCTTCTGAGTAGGTGTGGCGCGCAGAACTGGAGCACATGGATGACTTTCTGGAAGGTGTAGGCCGTGTAGGTGGACCAGCAGATGAAGGCGAGGGCGAGGCGGGCCACCTGGTTGACGCGCTCGGGGGTGCGGAAGACGATGCCGGGCGCCAAGAGCACCAGACGATTGACCTTCAGATTCAGATACGGGTTCAGCGAGAGAGCACCCAACACCTGAGTACCGCCCTGTTGTAGACAGACAGACAGACGGGACGACAATCCACACACACATGGATGGGATGTGATGCCTTCCTGCTGGTGTCGGTTCGGTCGTGCGCGCATACCTGAGACTGGCCGAGCACAGTGAGTGATTCCTCCCCGGTGAAGGCCAGGACGTACTCAATCATCTCGGGGAAGTCATAGTGCGCCATGTGCTCAAAACTCCAGCCGTCCTTGTCGTCACCCGTGCAGTCGCTCATGTCGGCGAACGGCGTCCCGCGGTTGTTGCCCAGCCACACGTCGAAGCCAGCGGCCACCAGCTGACCCGCCAGGCTGTCCTTGCCGCCGTTGAAGACCCAGGCGAACGAGGTCTCGGTGATGCCCGACTGGAGGAACACCACGCCGGCGGGCTTCTCGTCTTCCCTGGTGTTGCTCTTGTTCTTGCTGCTCTTGACGATGCGGTGCATGGTGATCCTGACGTTGTCGCTGGTGCGGACGCTGTGTCGCTCCGCGGCCAGGTGGTCGCCGCACTCCATGTTGATGTACTCGACCACATCGTCGGTCTGGTTGAGGGGCAGGAAGGACCGGTGCCGCTTCCTCTGGCTCGTGTACGCCCAGACGTACCCCACAGCCAGGTACAGGAGCCGCATCAGGAAGATCCACACGGCGATGGCGACCTCGAGGGGGAGGAGGAAGGTCCGGAGGACGGACAGCAGCCGGACGGGGGGGGCGAAGAGCCGGGACACGTCCCGCTCAATCAACATGACGAAAAAGGAGCCAAAAGGACACTCGAGGGGGGAGGGGTGGGAACTGTGAGGGAGGGAGCGAGGGAGGCGGGATCTCAGGGGGGGGAGGCGCGCTCCGGGATAGACAGACCTCACGGAAAGGACGGACGACTCGCTGAAAACCGCCTCACAAAGCGCAAACAAGCAGCAAAGATTCGAAGATCCTCCTTTTCAAGCTCGCTGTCTTGCGAGCTAATCAAACCCTAACCCTAACTAAACCCGCTTCTCTCCCTCGATTAAACCTCTCCGCTCCACGCCTTTCCTCAGCGTTAGTGAGAGCGATAGAGAGGATATGGTGCAGAAGAAGGCGCAGAAGGAGCAGACCTATTCCACGGCCAAGGTCAAGCGCGTCGGGAGCTACTTCAAGGGCTTCTACTTCCCCCTGGTTCTCCAGAACCGCTGCAAGCACTACCTGGCTGACCTGCAGACACTGATCAGGGAGTTCAAGGCGGATTACGAGGCATCCGACAAGGTGCGTGAGTAAACACAGGCAGAGGGACTGACTCATTGGCTGCTGGCATGTGTGTGGTTTGTGTGGTTGTGTGGCTGCAGAAGCATCCTGGGAGTTTTCCGCTGTTCCGGGATGTGTTTCGACGGCTCCATTTCTCGGAGATCCACCGGACGGCTGAGGGGGAAGACCATGCACTCGCCTTTCAGCTGCTCACTGGCGTGTGCCTGGGTGAGTGAGTATGCAGATATATCACATCAAAGCGGCCAGCCACAGACGCCGTGACGGGTGTTGTCCCTCCCTGTGTGTGTGTGTGTGTGTGTGTGTGTTGGGCTGGCCACAGAGCTGATGCGTTCGTCAGAGGAGGTTGTGCACCAAGTGGGGTGTCTGTACGGCCTGTATCTGCTGTATGAGACCCAGTTCCACATGCCGCCCAACCTCAACATGGGCGGCTCGGGCATCATTCGGCAGCCAATACCCGTCAATCTACGTAACACACACACACACACACACGACACGACAGAGAGAGCAGGGGCGAATTTGCGCGAGCATTCCCTGCCTGTCTGTGTGTGTGTGTCTGTCATCAGAGACTCTCGAGCTGCTCGAGTCGTTGATGAAGCGATGCGAGTCGAACGGTGAGGAGAGCTTCCCCGAGTGTGCGGCGATAGTGCAGCGGCTGCTGTCTGGTGAGGCCCTCACCCTGGGCTGCCGCGAGGGGCCGCTCTTCATGTTTCAGGACAGACAGGGGAAACCTCTCATCGCACAAACAGAGGCCAGGAGGTGGGTAAGGTGGGAGGGGCGAGGGAGGATCTGCCTGACTGTGTGACACACTGTGTCGTGTGTGCGCGTGTCTGGGGTGTGTGCCAGCTTCCTGAAGACACAGGGCTTCCAGACGAAGAGGGCCGATCTGGTAACAACAGACAGACAGGCAGCAGACGCTGCAGACCGACCGTTATGCTCTGTCTCTCTCTTTTCGTCGTATCTTGATGTATGGCTTCCATCCTGCTTCTGTCTGTCTGTCTGTCTGTCTGTGTGTGTGTGTGTGGACGCAGGCTGGCCTCGTGCGTGGCACCACCGCCTTGATAGACCTGGCAGGGCGGTATGTGGCCCTCAGAGACCAAGAACGTAAGCTAAGCCCACTGCACCAAAGTGGAGGGACATCGATTCTCAGATTGTGGGCGTCATGTGTGGTGTATATCGCGTCGCAAAAGGCGGGCCGAATGCGAAGCCCCGTTGGAGCAAGAGCCGAGGTGACCTTCCCGACAACCTCCAGGCCATGCGCACAAACATTGAGGTCAGCAGACCAACCAGCCAGTCAGTCAGTCAGACCACACACACACTCACACACACACAGCAGACACCGAGCAACGCGCACCATCCCTTTCCCCCTGTTTGCAGAAGACGCAGGCGACTTTTCCCGAGGCGATGCCAGCAGACATGCCCCTCGACTCCCCAATTGGCTCGCCAAGACCCAAACCAAAGTCAAAGACCGCACCGACAGCACGGAAGCGAAAACGCCAAGAGGAGCCTTCACAGCCACCACAGCCGCCGGCGATTGAGGAAGGCCCACCAGAGGCTGCTGCGGCTGTTGATGAGGGTAGGGAGCCTGATGCCCTGGATCAGCTGATGGAGGACCATTTCGCCCCGAAGGGGAAGAAGCGGGCGTCTCGCCAGGTGAGGAGGGAGCCGAAGCCCAAAGCAAAGAGGAAGAGCTGCGCCAAGGCCAAGCCGTCAGCAGCAACAGCAGCAGCAGCAGGAGCGGTTGTGAGTGACGATGGTGTGATGCACCCTGATGAGAACGCGGACCTGATCGACATGGTAACAGCGCAACACAGCACGACTCGACTCGTATATTCTCCCTATGTCTGTGTATCTTTCTCTCCCCACCACACATCACACCTGTATGTCTGTGTGCAGCTGGAGCGCAGCCTTGAGGCGGCGCCACCCGAGCAGCAAGAAGACCTGCCTGCTATTCCAGCTCCACCCTCACCCCTCGCGGCCCCTCCCTCACCGCCCCCCTCCCCACCCGAGCCCAAAGCCAAGGCCAAGCCAAAGGCGAAGCGGCAGCCGAAAGCCAAGGCGGCCAAAGAAAAGCCGGCGGCCAAGCGGGCGTCAAGAGCCAAGGCCAAGACACCCGCAAAGGCCAAGGCTGCGGGGGGGGCGGCGGAGTCTGAGATTGAACATGAGATTGAGCATGAAGAGGACGATTCAACGAGAGTCAAGAAGGCGGTGGGGAAACGGGCAGCTGCCAAAGGAGCGGCGAGAGGCAGAGGGAGGGGCCGGGGAGCGAGGCCCAAGGGCGGGCAGAGGCTGACGGGCACCATTGCAAACCCAGCCAGGAGAAAACGCGACCTGGTTAGTCACCACAGCACAGCACACGCACGTCGCTCATGTCATTGCCCATCTTCGTGTGTGCAGGGCCCCGAGGCTTCAGAGGAGGTATATGAGCCAGAGGAGCTGTCTGCTGGGTTGCTGGACAGCATGATTGCCGGCCAGGCTGAGGCCCCCCATCTGCAGCAGCAGCAGCAGCAGCAGCGGGTGCCGCAAGCTGCAGAGCCGTTAGACCGAGATGAGGAGTTGCTGCGTGAGCTGCAGGAGCTGGGGGCCGAGAGAGGGATGGAAGCTGACGAGGAGGACGAGGAGGAAGATTAGTGGACGAATGGATGGATGAGGGCCCTTGAACGAAACGAGATGTGTTGTTTTGAGTCTGAGTGAGAGTGTGAGTGTGTCTTCTGAGCGGACGGGTGGGTGAGGTGAGGCGAGTGGATTGAAACGAAGAAACCTCAATCAGTGAACCATGATGTCTGTTCATGTCACTCACTGTAGTCACGTCGTCACTCCGCCACCAACCGATGGATGATACACATACGCTCACTTGTCCTAGACAGACAGACTGAGCCTAGCAGAGCATAGCCTAGCCAGAAAGGCCAAAGGCGGTTGTTCGTTCGTTCGTTCGTTCGTTGGTTCTACAAATACAGCGTGAGAAGCCCTCTCTCCCTCTCTGTTGCTCGCTCACTCGCTCGCTCACTCCCAAGACACTCTCGCAGCCCCCGTAAGTACCATCAGCCCTTTACTGCTATAACCCCCCAGCACCCCACGCTCAGTGCGCCAGGCAGACAGACAGGCAGGTGCTGGCGGCTGGCTCTCCACTATCTGCAGAGCCGAGCGGTCAACAAAACCTGCCGGAGTCTGGCTGTCTGGCTCTCATTCTCGTACACACAGCACACCCACACGTACACACACACGTACTTGTACGAGTAGAGAGAGAGAGATGGAGCAAGGGATACTGACAGATAGATAAGAGATCGATGTTGCTATAAAACCGTGTAGAGCATCGGGGGGGGGGGGGGGCCG